GTAGTTATGTTCTATAAAGTCGCCAGGAACACTGAATTGGCCAATACTGAACCATCGCTCTTAGGGGAGAACGAACACACACACACACACACACACACACACACACACACACTAACCCCTCGCATAGATGATATGATCTTAAATCCTGAAAGCAAGTCTCCTGGTAGATTCTATTGTCTTTATTTTATGAAAGAGAAAAAGAGCTTCCAAAGTGTTAACTGACTTGCCTGAGGCTGGACAACGGACGGGCACCAGAATTGGGACTCCAAGCCCATCCATCTGGCCCCAGAGCCAGACCTTCTTACACCACACTGCCCTACCCTTACTGTCTCCACTTATTGTCGGACTATGGAAGAGCTAAAACAAGAAGACTGAGAGTGTCCTTGTTCAACCTCAGCTGGGTGCTGGCAGGGTGACTTACATTTTTTTTCGGGCTCTGAGCGTGCCCGACGTGCGTGTGAAAAGGCCACAAGTATTGATTTCGGGTTACAAGTGGAGTTGTTAATTTTAGCGAGCGTACACATCGCAAATACGGAAGCTGTGACCACTGAAGGTGCGCTGTGGAGTTTGTGAGGAGGTCCCTGTTAAAAGCAGAGTTGGGAGTGCCTGCAAACACCTTGTCCATATTTTATGGCTGGTTCCTTTGCACCCCTTCGAAGACTTCTCAGAGAATTCTTGACTGACCTTCAATAAAACGGGCCCTACTCTCAGGCACGGGCAATCACATCACCCTCTTTAATTTCCTCTATGTACTAGTCATGAGCCGAAAGTTTTATTTATTTCTTGACTTGTTCAGCCTGTTCCCCTATGTTTGTATGTAAACTCTGTGATAGTGTGGACTTTGTCTGTGCCCAGCACTGGAGTGCTGCCCTGATACACTCTCAGAACCCCATTGCTATCATTTGAATGAATAAATGATTAGATAGGTGAATGAATGAATAGTTGTATGCGTGTCTTTCAAAGTGAGGGATGCGAGTGTTTTATAAGAATAGGCTTGAGCTTGCATAACATGGGCCGTCCCGCTCGCAGCCTCAGATAAGGCGTCAGGGCCTAAAAATGGGATAATAACACCTGAAAGAAGAGTTGAATCCTGCCAGGATGCAGATGGGATCTGACTTTAGAAGAATTACGTTAGAGATGAAGTCAGTACTAAGAACTAGGGACAAGGATGGGGGGAATGATTCGTCATCCCTAATTATCTTCATCCCACTCTTGTCTTTAGGTGAGGGACCAAGAAGGTGGACATAGAGGTCTATGAAAGAAGGTTTGAGGCTTGTTTCTTGCATCCTTAGGTTGGCTCTACTCAAAGCGCTTGTATTAGCCTTCGTGATTCTGAATCACAAGACGTGAATCAGAAATCGAGGGTTGAAATCATAACCAAGAGCTGCCAGCTTCCAAACCAAACCTGCGAACTAGAAACACCTGAACACGCTGCGAGCGACCAATAAACCCATATTTGGGTTAATAGCCCATATAAGAAATGAAATCCAATCAAGTCATTAACTTCTTTTAAGTGACACATAAAACAGCCAAACTGTGGAAAACTTCTTTGTAGTGGGAGAATTTTAGAAACACAGGATAGCATTCAACTTCTTTTATTGTACCTTTTGGAGTAGAAGAATGCTAGAGTTACAAAAATTTGGAAGCTTCATCAAAGTATCAAAAGAGATTCAACTTGCCCGGTTTCAAAGGAAAGTCAACTCTGTGTTTTTTGAAAGATCTAAGGAAAATACTTGGCCTAAAATGAATGGATCATGTTTCCAAATTTCTGAGAAATTATATTTTGGGCCAGTGGTGGTTGTGGTATCAGCTTTCCCAAAACATATTTGGCTCAACAAAGTAGATTTCAGTCTACTTTTTTTGTAAAACAAATCTATCCATCATAAATATCAAATGGTCAGAATTTGGATTAAATCAAACCCCATGCTAGGATGGCAGCTGGGACACTTTTCCTCCCGTGGAGTAACCCAAATCCCAATGATCTGGAGAGTGAAATGGATCCCAAACTAAATCATAGTCTATTAACAAAGCTACTTCTCAATGCAGATGATACTACTTGAGATTTGTCTGTGACTTCACAGTGTTAGCTATTTCCTCAGATATTAGTTCATGTATTTACCACAATAATCCCACGTGGCTGAGACAGCAGATACCGTTCCCTTCATTTTACAAAATAAGGGAATTTTGAAATGGTTATCTTCCTGGACTTTTCCAACATCGACCTATGAGTAGAGCTAGTCCTCGACGCCACATTTCATGACACCTACCTCTAGAACTATTAGTGAGGTTGGATCCAGTTCAGTCAAAACCGGAATGTCATTAAGCACACAATATGTTAGCAACATCAAAACCTGAGGACTTCATGATACGGTCAATTGATTTTTGACAAAAGTGCTAAGACACTTCACTGAAGGAAAGAATAGTCTCTCCAGTAGATGGTGCTTAGGCAGCTGGCTATCCAGAAGTAAGAAGGCACAGTTGGACCCTGCTTGGAAGCATACGCAAAACCTAACTCAAAATGGTGCATAGACCTAAATGTAAGAGATAACACTTCTAGAGGAAAACAGAGTCCTAACTCTTCATGACCTTGGATCGGGTTGCTTAGCTATGACACCAGAAGCACAGATGACGATAGATAAATAAGTAAATTGGACTCTATCAAAATTGTCACTCTTGGGGCTCATTCTAGAAGATACTTTTCTGTGGGTTTTTGTTTTTTTTTTTTACTGTTTATTTTTGAGAGAGCGAGACAGAGCACAAGCAGGGGAGGGGCAGAGAGAGAGGGAGACACAGAATCCGAAGCAGGCTCCAGGCTCAAACTCATGAACCACGAGATCATGACCTGAGGTGAAGTCAGACGCTTAACCGACTGAGCCACTCAGGCACTCCTCTCAAAGATACTTTTCAAGTATAAGGTGCTACTTTCCAGAAATTTCACTCTCTCCATCATAATGTGCCCATGGTTTCAATATGATTCCTTCCTTTTCACAGTTCAGTTGTAGCCAGTTATTACATTCAGTTAGAGGTCAAAAGGCAAGACAAGAAATTTCTTGAGGGTAGTGGCATTTTGAGTAAATATGTCCATGGATAGCTGAGTTTTTATTTGGGAATCCTCAAGGGAAATTAGAAATGACAACATAAAAGTCATGGTAAGAGAAACTGAGTCCAGTGGTGAACCTCCTTGAAATATTAGCCTGGGTTCCACATTCTGTACTTACCCATCAAAACGTCTTTTTTTTTTTTTTTCTTAATGTCTATTTATTCTTGGGAGAGAGAGTGAGACAGAGCGTGAGCCGGGGAGGGCCAGAGAGAGGGAGACACAGAATCCGAAGCAGGCTCCGGGCTCCGAGCTGTCAGCACAGAGCCCGACGCGGGGCTCGAACCACAAACCGTGAGAACGTGACCTGAGCCGAAGTCAGACGCCTAACCGACTGAGCCGCCCCGGCGCCCCTCAAAACGTCTTTTAATTTTCTCTTTTGTTCATCACATTCAGCAAGCATGTTTGCGTGCTAATCTGACATAGGACCTGATCTCGGGGTTTGCTGCAAATGGCCAGTGACCATTATCTTCTCAATAAGAAGATGTCTTGAGTAGTCTCTCTCCTGCGTCTCATAACAATCAGGAATAAAACGCAAGGAATCTTGGCCTCTGGAAACAGGACGTGATTCCTCTGAACAGCCATCAGTGGATATTTATCCTGAACTTCTGACCCTACTTCCAGTTTATCTCATTCATAGAGAATGGAATTACTCCAGTTAAATAAAGTATCCCAAATCAGAAGGGCTTAATGACTGGGCCATGGCTCCTCCCTGAGATATGGTAGAGTAATCAATGATGCCATTGTCATTCTCTGTAACACTGCAACTTGCGTGCTGGGTTAAAATCATAAAACTCAAGCATGCTATCTCCATTTCCCACAGCTGTGGTTTTGGGGTCTCTGTTTGCGAATAAGCATTTCAGAATTGTCAAGAGGTGGAGGAAATAGCGTGTGCAGAGTATTTCCCAAGCCCAGTTGCCAAGAATGAGCTAATTGTCACCCTGCCTTGCATATAATGAGTCTTAAAAACTTCAAATAAGGGCCATTCTATAATGATCCACCTTTCCTGGAGAATGGCTTATGTTCATTGTAGAATCTTGGTCTTTCGGACGTATACCAGAAGTAAAATTTTAAATTATGTCATAAGGCGAATAAAATATCCAACCATCCTTTTTCTTTTTTGGTGTTTTCATAGTGACTAAATGCAAAGTTGATGTCTGTATTTAAAAGAAGAGTTAAGGGGCGCCTGGGTGGCGCAGTCGGTTAAGCGTCCGACTTCAGCCAGGTCACGATCTCGCGTGATCTCCCGTGATCTCGCGTGAGTTCGAGCCCCGCGTCGGGCTCTGGGCTGATGGCTCAGAGCCTGGAGCCTGTTTCCGATTCTGTGTCTCCCTCTCTCTCTGCCCCTCCCCCGTTCATGCTCTGTCTCTCTCTGTCCCAAAAATAAATAAACGTTGAAAAAAAAATTTTTTTAAAGAAGAGTTAAGTAAATATGATATAGTCTTGCTACGTTGCATTTGGAAAATGTGTCCAATGGACGTTAATAGTAGTCTGTCCTCCATAAAGGAATAATATTCTTTCTTTTTAAACTTACTTTATGTGTCTAATAGGCCAAAATTCCACTCTCTTTCAAGATATAGAAGAAGGAATTGCAAATATATCTCAAGTGTCAATTTCCAGCTAATTGGTAATAGCTGTGTATATGTTGTGTTAAGAAAGATTCTGTGGCTGAGTATGGCTTAGCAGAGAAGACTGCTATCATTGGATAATAGTGTTTTCCAAGACTGTAAGGAAGGGAGTAGACATGTAAGTCCTATATTTTCCATCTTTGTATAATTGGAAAAAGAGTTAACATTTAAAGTATCTTTTTAGTGATTACCAGAAACGTAGTAGTCTACGTTAAAGAGCATTTAACAGAAAACAAAGGCCAAATTAAATGCTCACCATTCCCTCTGTCCTGTAGGTCAACGCGTCACGTCAAGAAGCCAAATTGATGGAGGAGTGTGATCTTCTCATTGAGATCATTCAACAAAGACGGCAAATTATTGGAACCAAGATCAAAGAAGGGAAGGTATGATTTCTAGGGCAGAAGATAACCATATTCTCCTGGAGAGGATGTCATACTCCCATGCATTTCAATAGCTTAGGAAATATTGAATACCCCCTTTTTCTATATTTTCTATAACCCCCTCTTACGTCTTTAAGACGTAACTCAAAGTCCCTTGGTTGACCTTTTTTTTCTCTACCCCTTTCTTTGTATTATCATGGTCTCCTGTGCACATCTGTAATACAAGGATTGCATTGCATTACCTCTACTCCATTACAGAACACCGGGCGGTAGTGGGCTCCTGTGTGTTAAAACCATTATTCTTTTTTTCTTTTCTTTTTTTTTTTTTTTATTAAAAAAAAATTTTTTTTTAACGTTTATTCATTATTGAGAGACAGACACAGGATGTGAGCAGGGGAGGGGGAGAGAGAGAGGGAGACACAGAATCCGAAGCAGGCTTCAGGCTCCGAGCTGTCAGCACAGAGCCCGACGCGGGGCTCGAACTCACGAGCCGTGAGATCATGACCTGAGCCGAAGTCGGTCGCCCAACCGACGGAGCCACCCAGGCGCCCCAGCCATTGTTTTCATCTCTCTTCTCTATGAGAAGGTGGGTTCCACAGAGGAAGAGTTCATTTCCTATTTATCGCTATATCCTAGCAATTATCACAGTATTAAATAAATGTTTCAGTGACTCAGATTTTATATAGAGATGGCGAAGTGTTTTCCCATGCCTTTGAGCGAATTCAGACAGGTATAATTTTGTGGTGGCAAAATTCCTGTAGTTTCACTGTATCATATATCCCTTTGTGGATATATGAATAGTAATTCTTTTCTAATGTTTGTATGTTTAAAATTCCTACGGGTTTTATTGAAATACTTAGGATCCATTTTATTTTACCCATTTCTCTGCCGCCCTCCAAAGGTGATTTTGTAGCTATTTTAAAAACGGAAACAGTCATTCAAGATTTAACTATTACTGCTCATAACCATACTTTCATGAAACATGTATAATTAAATTAAATTAGCAACTATTAAGTGGTGCACAGAGGTAACGATAGCCAATATATGTGTTCTCTGTTCTCTACAAAATTTCAAAGGTACGTTCAGTATTGTATCATATTTTAGATCACTTTGTATAGGTTGAAAGCTATTTATTACAGGTAAATTGTGACGGCGATCAGAGACGTCAAAGTGAAATCAAATCAAATAGTTCTTGAAGCTGTTTACAGTGAATTAACAAATTAATGTGAAACCAGTCCCTGGCCAAGAACTGACTCAGCTGTGTTGAGAAGCGACTTTTCCCCACATACACATTGTACAACTTAGCATCCGCCTGGAATCCTCGCGGGATGTATTTCCCCTTCCATTATCGTGCACCACCTCTGAAGGCTCGTAGTAGTTTCTTATTGCTGCTGTAACAAATTACTGCAGACTGGGTGGCTTAAAACACCCGGATTTGGTATCTGACCTTCTGGAGGTCAGGAGTCCAAAATCAGTGTCACTGGCCTTAAAGCCAAGGTTTTGGCTGTGCTCTTTCCTTCTGGAGGCTCTAGGGCAGAATCCATTCATTGCCATTTCTCGGCTCCTGGTTTCCTTATCACATCACTCTGTGCCCTTTGCTTCCCTCCTCAAGTTTCTTTCAGCCTCTCCTGGTTCTCTCTTCTAAGGACCTTTCTTTTTTTTTAATTTTTTTTTTCAACGTTTATTTATTTTTGGGACAGAGAGAGACAGAGCACAAACGGGGGAGGGGCAGAGAGAGAGGGAGACACAGAATCGGAAATAGGCTCCAGGCTCTGAGCCATCAGCCCAGAGCCTGACGCGGGGCTCGAACTCACGGACCGCGAGATCGTGACCTGGCTGAAGTCGGACGCTTAACCGACTGTGCCACCCAGGCGCCCCTAAGGACCTTTCTAATTACATTGGGATCACTCAGAACATCCAGGATAATACACCCTCTCTCAAAGGTCCCTGCCTTAATCACATGCGCAATGTCCCTGTGTCATGTAAGGTGCCATAGTTCAAAAACTTCTGGGATTAGGATAAGAGCATCTTTGGGGGCCCTTAATTCAGCCCGGCCAGCATGCCTTTCCCTTGCTTAACTTCCCAGCATGACGACCTCTCTCATGAGCCGGATCAAGATAGTGAAGGGGTGCACGTGCAGTGACAAGAGCACATAGCAAAGTAGGGAAGCAAAGAGACATAGCTGGACCCAAAACAAGGGAAAGATCTCCACGGGCCAGAAATGGGACGAACCTGCAAAGCCGCGGCTGTGGCTAAAACACAGGCTAGTGGAGACTTGGTCTGGAAGAGACCGAAGCAGCTCCGCCTTCAAGTCCAATGGGTCAATAGTTCTTGATGCCTTGGGCTGAAGGGTACAAGTGCTCCGGATGGTATGGGGGACTGAAATCAGGCTCATTGGTTCATGCCACGGGCTGTATGAGGCTTCTCGCTTCCTTAAAAGACACCAAAAAGCGGGGCGCCTGGGTGGCGCAGTCGGTTAAGCGTCCGACTTCAGCCAGGTCACGATCTCGCGGTCCGTGAGTTCGAGCCCCGCGTCGGGCTCTGGGCCGATGGCTCAGAGCCTGGAGCCTGTTTCCGATTCTGTGTCTCCCTCTCTCTCTGCCCCTCCCCTGTTCATGCTCTGTCTCTCTCTGTCCCAAAAATAAATAAACGTTGAAAAAAAAAATTAAAAAAAAAAAAAGACACCGAAAAGGATTCTTGCCAACCTCTACCTACCTAGGGTCAGAGTTTTTAGCAAACTTCAGGCCTGGGAGTCTGGAACAAGCCCGTTGTCAGGTTAGCACCTGGCTCTGCACTATTTCTGACACCCACACAGAAGCCTCAGAGAGGCGGAGGTAATACCGGGTTCCCGAATGAGGACCCCCGAGGGTGAGGTGAGGGCGACTGACGGTAAACCCGCTGGGCGGGGTGGGCTAAGCAAGGAGGGCGAGGGAAGTAAAGATTATGGATAACTCCTTCCCTTTAAATCTGAAACTCAAACCACAGTTCTGGAGCATATAAGGAAAGCTTGCATTTCTAAAAATACAGCCGACAAACTCAGCAAAGACATTACCTCACCCCAGGTGAAATTCATTTTATGGGAAAATATTAAAAAAGATGTTTAAAGAAATAAATGAGGGCATAACTTTGATTTTAAAAGAGCAAAAACTTGTGAAACCACAAAAGGATAGAAAATAAGAGAGAAAGAAATAGGAAAATAACAAGTTAGCAGTTTGGGAGGTAAAAATGTAGAACCCTGAAACTACAAAGAAAACTTGGCCACGAGGGGAATTTGGAAACTGAGTTTTAGCCTCCCCGTAGGAGGGATATCCGCATGTAAGAAGATGAAATTCGATCCATATTTCATGCCATATACAAAAATTAAATCTAATTGTTTTCAACATTTATTCCTTTTTTGAGAGACAGAGACAGACAGTTGTGAGTGGGGAAAGCACAGAGAGAGGGGGAGACATAGAATCCGAAGCACGCTCCAGGCTCCAAGCGGTCAGCCCAGAGCCCGCCGTGGGGCTCGAACTCACGAACCGTGAGATCGTGACCTGAGCCGAAGTCGGACGCTTAACCGACTGAGTCACCCAGGCGACCCCCAAAATTAAATCTGAATGGATCATATACGTAATATGAAAGACAACGGGACAGAACTTGGAGGTGCCTGGCTGCCTCAGTCGGAGAGGCAGATGTGACTCTTGATCTCGGGGTTGTGAGTTCAAGACTCACGTTGGGTGGAGAGATTACTTGACAACAAAAAAAAAATCTTCAAAAAAAAAAGAACTTCTAGAAGAAAGCATGGGAGGAAATCCTGGTGAACCTTGAGTTGGGCAAAGATTGGTTTATACAGAATGAGAAAAAAACATCAAAGAAATCTTTACAAATTAAACAGATCATTCTAAATTGTATTTCATCAAAAGTAAAAACTCTTTATAAAGCGCTGTCAAAAGAATGTAAAGACAAGCCACAGATTGGGGACAAATTTTTATCTAAATCAAAAAGTATTTGTACGCAGATATATAACAACTTCTAAAACCTCGTTAGTGAGGAAATAAACAATACCTTTGCCAAAGCGGATGAAAGATTTGAATAGGTACTCTACCGAGGGAGATGTGTGGGTGGCACATAAAAACATGAGGAGATGTTCAAAATCATTAGTCATTAAGGAAGTCGTCAAGAAAAGTCATCGGGGCAAATTAGAACCTCGGTGTGATACCCTTCTTACCTAGTAGAATGGTTAAAATTAAAAAGCTGGACCATAGCAAGTATTGTTGAGAATGTGGAGGAACTGGAACTCTCGCATGCTATTTGTAGGAATGAAACAGTGCATTTGGGAGAACTGACAGGTTTTTTAAATTTTTTTTATATTTATTTATTTTTGAGAGAGAGACAGAGTGCAAGTGGGGGCGGGGCAGAGGCAGAGGGAGGCACAGAATCCGAAGCAGGTTCCAGGCTCTGAGCTGTCAGCACAGAGCCCGATGTGGAGCTGGAACTCCCGAACCGTGAGATCATGACCTGAGCTGAAGTCGGACGCTTAACTGACTGAGCTGCCCAGGCACCCCTGATAGTTTTTTTTTTTTTCTTTTTTAAATATTTATTTATTTTTGAAAGAGAGAAGAGAGAGAGCGTGTGTGTGTGTGCATGTATGCGTGCATGCATGCGTGCATGAGAGCAGGGGAGAGGCAGAGAGGGAAGGAGAGAGCTGTCCTTCACAGAGCTCAATTTGGAGCTTGAACCCATGAACAGTGAGATCGTGACCTGAGCCGGAATCGAGAGTCAGACGCTCAGCCAACTGAGCCACCCACACGTCCTGAACTGACAGTTTCTTAAGTAGTTAAACGTACACTTACCATATGATCCAGCCATTCCAGGTGTTTACCAAGAGAAATGAAAGCATGTGTCCCTGTAAGACATGTACATGAATTTTCGTGTGAGTGTGAAGGGTAAGAGCCCCAAACTGGAAATGAGCCAAATGTCCATCGACAGATGAAGAAACAATTTGGGGCGCATCCATAATG